TACCGCAGTGAACCTGCCCCTGTCATTGGAGATACCGCTCAGTTCCCATCTCTTGGGGGCAAGTAAGATCCATCCATGAAAAACACCAAATCTCGTGCGGTCTCCTTCAGTCTTCCTTCCTCGAGACTGAAGGTTTTTGTGCGAGAGTCTACGGTTTACCAGTCCTTTTGTTGTCGGGTGTAAATGTTTAGATGTCATCAGGTTTTAGAGTTTATGCTACTTGTTTTGCCTGACTGGTTTTTTCACGTTTGGAACAATACACTTGTTTTGGTTTTTACCATTTAGTCTTGTTGTTTTTCTTATTTATGAACTTGTTTCAGACAGACGAATCTAATGTTATCGGTTTTGAGTCACCACTCTGTTTCACCACTCTTATTCGTATTTGGACATTGTATTATCAGAAATAAACATTTTTTAACAATGCTTATCAGATTCTTGAATGTTAAATGTAGTAAAAAGATTTTGTAGATCTTTGAGTTTTGTAGATTTGACTATACGTTCGCATGTCTGTCATAAACAATAATGAAACAATGCTTTCTCGCTACAAATTTCGTCGTCCATTCAAACTCTGTAAATTTCGATTCTTTTCGAGCTATGTTGAAAACCCTGAGGCTATCTCTAAGCGATCGTCTTCGTCAACCTCTTGTTCGTCGTCAAATCCATCTCTGGTTTGTTCCAATAACTTGACGATAATTAAACATTCTGATCAAGGCGAGATCTTTCAGTTGAACAAGATTATTGCTAGATGTGTACGTTCAGGAGATTTAGACGGAGCTCTAAGAGTGTTTAATGGGATGAGAGTGAAGGACACAGTGACCTGGAATTCACTTCTCGTTGGGTTTACAAAAGATCCAAGCAGAATGAGGGAAGCACACCAACTGTTCGATGAAATCCCTGAACCAGATACTTTCTCTTACAACATCATGTCGTCTTGCTACGTTCGCAACGGCAACTTCGACAAGGCCAGGAGCTTCTTCAAACAGACGCCAGTCAAAGACGCAGCGTCGTGGAACACGATGATCACGGGATACGCACGGAGAAGCGAAATGGAAAAAGCGAGGGAATTGTTCGACGAAATGACGGAGAAGAACGAGGTTTCTTGGAATGCAATGATCTCAGGTTATGTAGAATGTGGGGATTTGGAAATGGCATTAAGTTTCTTTAAAGCGGCTCCGGTTAGAGGCGTAGTGGCTTGGACTGCAATGATCACGGGGTATATGAAAGCTAAGAAGGTGGAATTAGCTGAAGCAATGTTCAAAGACATGACAGTGAAGAGAAATCTTGTAACTTGGAATGCTATGATCTCTGGTTATGTCGAAAATTCTCTGTCAGAAGATGGATTGAAGCTTTTCAAAGCAATGCTTAAGGATGGAATTAGGCCTAACCCGTCCGGACTGAGCAGCGTACTGCTTGGCTGCAGCGAATTATCGGCTTTACGGTTAGGGAGGCAAATCCATCAGTTAGTGTGTAAAGCTACATTGTGTAACGACGTTACCACATTGACTTCTCTGATCAGTATGTACTGCAAATGTGGAGATCTTGATGATGCTTGGAAACTCTTTAAGGCGATGAAGAGGAAAGATGTTGTGCCGTGGAACGCGATGATATCCGGGTACGCACAGCACGGTAAAGCGGAAAAGGCTCTGTGCTTGTTCCGTGAGATGAGAGAGAACAAGATCAGACCGGATCGGATAACGTTTGTTGCGGTTTTGTTGGCATGTAACCATGCTGGACTAGTGGATATTGGGATGGAGTTTTTCGATTCGATGGTGAGAGATTACGGGGTAGAACCGCGGTCTGATCACTACTCGTGTATGGTTGATCTTTTGGGTCGAGCTGGGAAGCTGGAGGAAGCATCGAAACTTATAAAATCAATGCCGTTTAGACCACATGCTGTAGACTATGGGGCGCTCTTAGGGGCTTGTAGGGTGCACAAGAATGTTGAAATGGCTGAATTCGCGTCTAAGAAACTTCTTGAGCTTAATCCGAGAAATGCAGCCGGGTATGTTCAGCTCGCGAATGTGTACGCATCGAGAAACCTTTGGGAAGACGTTGCAAGGGTTCGCAAGAGAATGAAGCAGAGCAATGTTGTTAAGGTACCCGGATACAGTTGGATCGAGATTGGAAACAACATTCACCAGTTCAGATCAAGCGAACGGATTCACCCTGAGCTAGACTCAATACACAATAAACTGAAAGAGCTAGAGAAGAAGATGATTTTAGCTGGATACACTCCAGAGCTAGAGTTTGCTTTACGCGACGTAGAAGAAGAACATAAAGAGAAGCTATTGTTATGGCATAGTGAGAAGTTAGCTGTTGCTTTCGGGTGCTTAAAACTCCCTCAAGGTTCACGTATACAAGTGTTCAAGAACCTGAGAATCTGTGGTGATTGTCATAAAGCAATGAAATTTATTTCAGAGATAGAGAAACGAGAGATCATAGTAAGAGACACCACAAGGTTTCACCATTTCAAAGATGGGTCTTGTTCTTGTGGTGATTACTGGTGAAAAAGACAAGAGCTTTCTTTAACTACTCTCGATTTGGTCAACGTAGTAACGACTGTATATATTTATAGTATGCGTTATTGTCTGAAAAGACAAGAGCTTTGACTTGAGAAGGAGAGAGATGCGTAGATCGGCGAGTGGTTCTAGAGTTTCCGATCAATTTCCGGCGAATTCTCCGGGTCGATCTCAGAGTGTTACAGCTATGGAAGAAGATGTGGAGCTGCTTTTGCCAAGATTTGACCCGAATTCTCACGCAGGGAAGAGAGAGAAATGGAGAATCAGATTTGCAGAAAATGTAATCCATTTCATTCCATTGATTCTTCTTCTCTGCGTCGTAATCCTCTGGCTCTTCTCTCATTCAGGTAACGTCTAAGAAAAACCATTGTTGTTGGTTGGTTAAATCGCATTTCTTGATTTTTGTTTTGATGGTTTATATATTTTTATCCATAGATGCAGAAATCAATTCAATATCTCTAAGAATCTATTGAGTAGTGAAACTTAGGAATTCACAAAGACCCATCTTTATATGAGGAATTGAGGATTGAGATGTATGTTTGAATCTTGTCTTTAATTTGTGGTTTCAATTTGTCATTTAGATATAGTTGCAATACTAAACCGGTGATGGATTTGGAAATGGTCAGCAGCGAGAAGGAGTTGTGTTACAGAAGCAAAAAACTGAAGCTTGAAGAAGACATGTTTTGTTTCCATTTGTGATTCTTTGTTGTGTTGTCGAGACAATTCTCTCGGAAACTTTTTAAACTC